TGGATGCTTTTATCTTGCAATACTGTGTACATAGCTAAAACTAATTATACTAAAAAGCAGTTAAAAGCTTTGCATCAGACAGAGTCAGCCTCAATTTTCATCTGCTACACTTAAGGATGATTTTTAAGTTGCTAAACATACCTTCATAAAGAAGTTCAGTACATCCAACTTGAATAACACCCAAATTCTCTGTCTTTTCAGATGAGAGCATTAGATAAATGTGTATAGAAACTGTGTCAACTTATTGCTGCCTATGAGGAGAGAGTACTACAGTGTCCAATATTACTAGCATTTCTTTAATATAAAAATGACAGTCCCTGGAAGTCTCAGCATTTTATTTTTGTGTTCTCCTTCCCACCACTACTTCTTAATGTTCTTGCACATGGTAACATCTGTAAACATGCTGCTTTCACCAGCATTATTATCTAGGAAGATCTGTTAATTTTAAAACTTACTAGTTCATTTTAAGTTTGGCTTATTTTTCTGAGGTTTGGAAGCAACTTTTATAAGTCTTTATTTGACAGTGACAATGTAACTTTTATTTAGTAAAGACACAATTTTTCTGTACTTTGGTGTTGCATTGCACCATTAATGATTGAGGAAAACCTTTTTTTCTTTTAATCTACTGTGATATAACTTCTTTGAAAGAAGCAAACCATCCTTTAACATCTGTTTCTGGATTAGAACACCAAGTCAAGACTGATCCAGAATCTGACTTTTCCGTAAGAAAATTTATTTTCCCTCTTCACTATTCCGTGCTTATAAGGCTTTCTTTTTCTTGTCATGCACAGCACAGAATCACATGTGGAGAACAGTTATAACAGTGCTTGAGCATCTTTTTCTTCATGACAATGAATTTGAGAGAGCAGGGAAAGGTGTGTTTGTTTGTTTTCTTTTGTTTTGTTTTCCTGAATTCATTGTGTTTTGCCAAATTCTATAGTTAAATATATCTTGCTTTTGTACAGCCTTTGCTAATATATTTAGAAGAAATAATTAAGTATATGAAACTGTTTAATAAGATATAGTGTTCTTGAGAAGAGTTGGTCTTTTGTACATGATATACAACTATGGGAGCATATACACAACTATTTCTGTAAAGGATTTCCTTTCAGAAATGTTGAAAGAGTCTTTTTGGGAAAGTTGTTTGTTTTATAGAAACAAGAAAAAGAAAGCACCCCAATTTTTCTTTGGACATCCCAAATAGGAGAGTGTACTTTAGCTGTTTCTTTTGAGTAAATCTTCTAATCCATATGGATGTAATGAGAATGAGTAAATTTAATCTTCTAATAAGGTTATAATTTCCAGATTAATTAAGTATGCAGACATGCCAGTGTTACTGTTGTTGCCTCTATAACTGACTCAGTTAATCCCAGGACTGTTTAAAGGATAAAAGCTTCTTCAAATCATTCCCATGTTTGTTGTCCATAACCTTCTTTCTTTCTAGCCTAAATTCATTTTCTGAAAGTTCCTATATATGACCATGAAATAAGTGTTTCAGCACAGTTTTTGTTCCTTTTTTATCTGTACTTCAGCTTTGTCCCACCTGTATTGCCAGAACCACATCCTTTTGTTTTTAGCTAGAAAATGGTAGCAAGGGATAAAAATGAAATCTTGTTAAGATATTTTGTTTATATTTTGAGAAGGACAGCAAGAAGGTGGGAGCTTATTTATATTTGAGCAGAAAAGAAAATAAATATTTATATACACATTTAAAATATAGTTACTTGTCTGGAAAACACTGCAGAAACAGAAGTATGGATGCTTAAACATTTAATTATATAATAAAATCAAAATTATAACAGTGCCTGATTCTAATTTTAAAACACATCACGAAAGGTGGAGGCAAAACAGTCAGGATGACATAGTCTTTTCATACGTTTAATATGAAAACAAATACAAATACAAATGACTACAGTTTCAGTCTTAGTCATGTTCAGACTTTCTAACTCGATAGGTCAGGTAACCTGTCGTGTAAGTAATCTCTCTAATAAGACTGCTGAGTATAATACAGAGGACTCAACTGTACTTAAACATCTATCAAAGATTAAACACATTCAAGTAAAATTATGTGAATCGAACTACACTATACAGAGAAAAATAGTTTCTTTATAAATATTCAGTAAATCTCACATCATTTTCCAGCTGATCACTAGAAATTCCTTTCTGCTCTTCTGCAAAGTTACTAATTATGAGGAGCCATCATCCCCACAGTTAACACTGGTATTCTTTTTTCAATACTAAAGGTTGAGGAACAAAATACAAATTATTTCTTTTTATGTTATGCCTTTACTTCATGGTGCTTTATGTGTCATTAAGCACGCAAAAGATTAAATTAAAAATCTGTGTTAAAATATGTATTTCAAAATATCATAAAAGCATGGTAATTCAGTAATTAATGTGGTATATAATGACAGATTTTCCATTTCCAGCTCGATCTGTACAAGAGTTCATTGCTTTTACTGCTCTACTTCACTGTTGTAGTTAGGAAATTTACAGTTAGAGAATCAAATTGAAGAGAAATTGGGCTTTTTTGAATCAGGGTAGTATTTCCAGCATTCTGTCACTGAAACAAGAAACTTCACTGCAAAATAAAATGCTTCTATTATGTGCTTAATTAAATTGCAAAACTGTTGTTTAATGTGTCTATGAAGATAGCATTCTAAAACTTAAGTGCTCATTTAATTAATTAATTTTCAAAATTCTGAAACGTGAATGCAACTTCTTTATGAGGTTTAAGTTGGAAGGGAAATGGTCTTGTTTATCAAACTAAGTCATCTTCTTTCCAATTTATGAAGATCTTAGAATGCTTCTGTCCCCATTTTTCAGGATGTGATTAACAGTAGTTCTGCCAAATAAGCTGTGTTGTGAGGTGTGGACAGGCAGTAGATTGCTAGAGAGAACTGCTAGACATACTTTGATAGTGTAGATTAAGGACATTGGATAATTTGTTTCAAATTAGTACAGCCATAACAATTGCATTTGCTGTAAGTAGTTTTAAAGGAATCATTAGAGATGTCAGGCCTCTCAGCAACGTTGATAAATTATTACATTTAATGTGTAATGTAGATCATAGTAGCAATGAGTGAAATGCTTGAGGGAGATGTTCCCCTGCTATGTTCATAAAATCTACAATGGAATAGTAGCAGTCCTTGTTGATACTGGCTTTGGAAGGATACTGCAAAGTCAGACGTGTAGTTTGTAGATATGTTGTGCAGGGCAAGAAATGACTGACGATTTGGGCATGTTTATAAAATAAAGGAGAGGGAGTATATAGTGATCATACAAGGCATTGAGAATTAAAGCTGACGATGAAGTATAATTTTTCTAACATTTATTAAAAGACAAACAAGAAAAGCAACAAACAAGAATATTGCTAGATGATGTTGTGTTTCTCTCAAAAATGCCTACCGTCTAGAAATCAAAAGCTAGCATAGCGTGGTAGTTAGGAAATAGGTTTCTTTTGCTGCAAATACTTCTGGGGAAGACATTACTTCACATTAGTCATTCAGTAGCTAATTGACAGCTTTGGTTTTCTTTCCTCATCTGTACCTGTATTTCTTTTTTCCTACCTTCTGTCCCAAAACCTGTGCAATCTGCTGGTCTTCTGAACTATCACAGAATAAATTTGCACTTACTTTTAGTTTAGACATTTTTTTTGTTTTATGTCAGACTTCAAATGGGTAGTCATTCTTGTTGTTGGGGATTTAAACTGGTAGGACTGTGACAGTTGGAAAATTTTCTAAGTTCATCAGTGCCTGTTAGAAATAGAGAAATGTAAGAAGACTTGAATAAAAACAATTCTGCCAATACCAAAATCCCCAGATTTTAATCCTATTTTCAAAAGGGTGAGCAAATACAGAAGTCCAAGAGCAGTTAAAGAACCCCTGAGTGCATAACTTGTTGCTTCATTCTTCCCTAATCCTAATAAATATGCACTTTATCAAAATAAGGTTCTTGTGTAATTTTAAATTAAGAAGGCAGTTAGTGATTATAGAACATTCATTTCCTTCTCTGTATGTGTTTGGTTTATGTTTTCTTTTTGTTTGTTTGTTTGTTTGTTTTATGTTAGAGGGAGATAAGGGTATAGACTGAGGCATTTTGTTGTAACTTCAAGAGGTAAAAGATTTTCTGTTTGTACCAGAACAAGAAATTAAAATCCATTGAAACACAAGGGTTCTAAATAGCTTGTGTAATAAACTTCTACAGCTGAAGTGATGCCAGAAAATAATAAAATACTCCATTCATTCTTGTCCCAAATAAGAACTAAACTTTACAATTAGCTCTTTATTTCCTCCCTTTTTTGTTTGTTTGTTTTCTCCTTTCAAAATTATTTTATCACTATTGTTTTTGTTTTGTTTTAAGTTCTTACATGTATCCATACAATTATTTCAACTCATTGCTAAAATGTGAAGTAACACCCCCATTTTAGTAACTGCAGACAGAATAATTCTTGCTTTCTATTAAATATAACTTTTCTTTTGTTCTTCTATGAACTTTAAAAGGAATTATAAGGTTTTATTCCTACAAATATATACAATTTTTGCTTTAACACTTGATCACTCTTTGGCAGTTAAACACTAATTTTTATTTTGGTGATTGTTCATAATTGTGTTATTTCTTATAAGTGCAATTCACATCAAAGTCACTTACTTTGTTTACTGGTGTATCCTTAGTCTATATCTTTGCACAAATTGCCGTGTATATCTACTATAATGCTGTAAATTTATCATTTACTGAAAATTTCAGAAAAGATGGGAAGCTACTTTGTTCACTAGAGTTTAGTGCTAAGAAAAAATTTTCAAGAGAAAATGTCATACAGTTTTTATAGGTTCTGTGTCTTTTCTCACTCACATATATGTCTACTTATGTATATATACTTAAATTTCCTATATATTGAGTATATTAGCATTAAATATGTTGTAGCAGTTCTTTCCGAATTTCCACTTTGATTTTTTTCCATTTAACATAATTTTGACATAATACCTTAACAGTCTTTTTAAGTATAAAATCATTATGGATTCTGATGCTTCAGAATATGGAGGGCATCAAAGGTTGGACCACAATACAGAGTACTTCTCTGAAGAATATCCTCACAATTATCGACCTAATTCAGTTATGGTAAGAAAGATGTTCTATTTCTAATCTGAATAATTGAATGATTTTAAAAGTCTTCAGACAAATACGGAGACTATTCTAGGAGTATTTCTGTGGTGGGTTTGTTTGCTTTTTAACATTCTGAAATCAGCCTGCGTATGAATACATCAGAGGTGATATTACAGTTTTATCATGGCTAATAATATTATCTGATTTTCTTTGGTCATTTCCTTTTCATTTGCATGTCATCTTGCACTGTCTTGCCACACGATATGCATGAAAACCTTCTAATGTACTTTTGAATTGCCTTTTTTAATATAAGCATTTACTTTATTTTCATGTCTGAAAAACTCCTTCTTCATGCTTTCTTTGTGAATAAAGCTGTAGAAACTAATTTTTCATTGCTTTCTTAAAATCATTTGCCGAACTTGACAAAGCCAACTGGCTTTATCCTCCTCAGTTTACAGAAAAACATAGAACAGACCATCTCTATTTGCATCAAAAATGTTTAGTCCTAATTGTTCTGAACAGTGAACAAAGAGTTTCCCTCAAATCACTTCAGATCAACTTCTAATCACTTTGCTTGTATAGTTGTATATACAATTTCTGTTAGCTGAGGTGGTGACTAATCAAACCCAAAATAGTGCCTATTGTCATTACTCTTGAAATCATAATCCCTTACCACAATTAATTTATAAATCTACCATTTCCCATTCTTTTTATATGTATACATATACATGTATGCATATAATATATATATATATGTATGTGTGTGTATATATATATATATATTACACACTTGTATGTATTTTCACTAGTTCAACAGATAATAAGATTCAAAAAGGTCGTGAATTGGTCAGGCTTCACTGGAAAAATTCTGAGAATGCTTATGTTGTTGGCCACATTTTTATATCTAAACCATCTGTGTGTGTGAAAATGTATCTCTATACACAGGTATATCTGTATACAGAAACACTGAAAGTGTATTATTTTTGTAATGTAACAGACTACAGATACGGAGTATCTATACTGGTATGTGTGTGACAGTCTTCTTCCATGACAGAATGGATAAATGATCATCTGGTGTCACATTTCTTATGAGATCCCAATTCCTGAGAATTATTGTACGTTTTAATCTCTGCCTCTCATGCTTTCTTTTAGCCTCTTTTGTTACATTCAGAGTATTGACAATTCTTTTGTTGGCATGTTTTAAAACAGTTTTGTTACATTGTGCTTTTATTCTGCTTGGCCTAGAGGATCTTGGGAACATGCTATTTTTTTAAGAGTTTTTATGTGACAGTGCCCTTAGTTACCCTTAGGTAAGTATCTGTTATCATAAGCATACTAAGAAACTGAGGATCTAAAAGTCCAGTCCTGCAGGTTACATATCAAATTAATGCTCCCAGAATTCTTGCTTCCTGTGTCGAATTCAAGTATGATGCTTTAGTGATTAGAGAGCATTTTAATTAGCTGCCACTAACTTAACTTTTGCAAGCCAATTAACTGTAATTTAGAGTGTGTATTTCACATTAGGGCTTTTAGATGACAAGTGCAAATCATTCAAGACAGAAAAAATACAACAAAACTTGAAGGTGCATCTTAACTAGGAGCATGTGAAAGATAAAGCATGTGACAAGCAAAGCAGCAAATGCATTTTTGCAGCATAAGCTGTGGCATGGCAATGGCACTTCTGAGTCAGTTAGAAACCCATCAGAGTGGGTCATGACAACTTTCCTTTATGTCCTTCAGCAGTCCAATTCACAGACCAGCTTCAGCCAACACTCCAGAAGATGCCACAAGCACCTCATAAAGGTAAAATGGTAGTAACAAGACACAAAGCAAAAGTAATTGGGGAAAAAAAATGTGGAAAATCAGACCAAATCCAGCAAGATATAACACCAAGTAAGAAAGAACAAAAGTTACAGTGAATACCACTAGTTGGTATTTTACAAAAGAAACAAATGTTTTATCATAAATAGAAATTTAGATCCCAGTTCTTAGATAATCCGTCATCCTTGAGAATTGTTTTAATCCTAGTTTACAATTAAAAAGTCTAAGCAGATATCTTCCCCTCAATTTTTCTTTTTGATGGCACCACCCCAATGAACTCAGAAAAAAAAAAAGAAAAATGTTTTTTTCTTGTACTTTAGTAATTATCTTATTGTATCTACATAGTGCATGTGACATAAGTGTCTAGTTTCAAAAATTTTCGTTCTCCCTTTGCCACAAACACATTATTTTATAGTGAAAGATGCACTTCCCTTAAGGTGTGCTAGATAAGCACTGTCAGTAAAACATACCCACAGGACTATGACAAAATGAAATTACATGCAATAATTCTGCTGCTCAAGTCAACCTTAAATAGTGCACAAACACATTATAGAAGTAGGAGATTAGACATGACATAATTCATTCTAGAAACATCACCTAATAAAAGAAATATTCAAAGTGACATTGCAAAATGAGAAGAAAAGAAATGTGAAATACCTGGAGTGAAGAAAACTGGGTGAAGAGTAAACTTTGTAAGCACGACTCGGCACTGTGAAATTTTGCTGATGAATATATGGTAATTCAAGTTCTGTATAAGGCCAGATTTCAAGATCATCATGCATGCCTTGAAAATTCCACAGGAAAATATATCAAAAGTATTCTTTGTAAATAATCTCATTTTTCTGTTTCACTGCTTGCTCTGCTGCAGGTTGTTAACAAATACATGAAATGTACATAACTTTTCATGTGATCAAACCTTCTTAAAACAAGCTGTTAACCTATTTGTCATTGTACAAAAGAAATTTTAAACCATCATATTTTTGTTTGTATTGCTGCCATGGAAAAAAGGCTTTAATAGTCGTCTTTGAGCTATGTTTGTTGTGGATGCCTCATTTTTGAAAGTGTTTTAGATCAGATTGGATGGAGCCCTGGGCAGCCTGATCTCATGTGTTGCAACCCAGCCCGTGGCAGGGGCTTTGCACTAGGTGGTCTTTGAGGTCCCTTCCAACCCAAGCCATTCTATGTTTTATGAAAGATGTGTGTGCTTTTTCATTGCTTGCATTACCTTCTAGTTTTATATTGTCTTCACATTTCAAATTAACTGCTGCAGACGTGTTTCAACTCCTGTAAGATCCTACTGCCCCATTACATTTGTACCTTACCTGATTGTTGTAGCTGGACATGAAATTTAGATCTGGGGCAAGGAGAGGGTGGGGGAAGAAAAAAATCTGTTTCTAATAACATTCATCATTCCAAATGTTTTATCAGGCATCTGACTTGATTGATTTTTATTGAAAATGTAATTAGATATCAACGTGTGTTGTAGCAACTTAAGTATTTTTTTTTAATAAAAGTAGTAAGTAAGTAAGAAGTAAGGTTTTGTATGGATGTACTGGGTTTTATACTTGTTGCACCAACAGAGTAATAAGTAGTCTAAATGTAAAGTTGCGGAATATGTTATGTCATTGGCAAAACAGTATGCAGTTTAGTGAGAAGTGTAATTGTTTAACATATTTCAGTTTTTATAGATTCACTTTTCCTGCAGTTCAATTAGCTAAACTATAAGTGGAAGCTGAAATACTCCTTCTCCCTTTCATTATATCAACTAGAAATTGTGTAGTTTATTCTAAGAATATCCTTATTGGTAGGTTGGGCTTTTTAACCTTGACCTTAATATATAATATTCAGTGTCAAAGTGCAACTTCGTGTCTCCATGAGTCTATTGACAAATTAAAAATATACACATAGACTGAAATGATCTAAAAGCTTTTAGTGACCTTAGCTTTGAAAGTAGTAATTTGAAAAACTTTCATGATAAGGGTTTATATATTGAATTTTAAAAGAATGATGTAATCTCTAACTATTTTCTCCCTTAACATGCACAGATATACAGAATATATGAAAGAATATTTGTTATTAGAAAATTGACTGTTCTAATCAGGAAGATCAGATAGCAGCAAAATCTTGCCTCTTCATGATTAAGATAAATCAACAATAAATTGATAAATTAGTTTGCTCATATTCATTGATCATTTCAATTCTTCAACAAACAAAAACTCAGAAACAAGTATAATGATTCCAAAGTTAATCTGTTATCCACTTTCATTCACTCTTACTTTTTGTACTGCATGTTTCAGTTTGTCAGGATTTAGTTGTCTTTTTGAAGTAACCTTTCTTAAGGAAGAGTGCAAAAGATAATAGAAATTTTGAGATAGAGCCTGGAGATCTTTTGCGTAAATGAAGCAAGACAGAGAAATGGTTTTCTGCATATTCATGCTTTACAGTTGTAAATTGAAAAACAGATTGGAAGGCAGTGCTTCACATTATTTTAAGCATACCTTCTTTTTCATATGCAATATCTAGCAAAATAAAATCTAAAATATAAAGTTCTTTATAACAAGTTACAGTCAGAAAGGAAAAGCTATCATGTACCTTATTCATTGATGGTTAATTATATTCTCAGAATAGTGTCAGCATCTGACAATTAGTAGTGATACAGAGACATGAGATTGTCCAAGGCCCTCATTTTAATTAAAAGTTTGGGAAAATGTTGGCACAGACTCCTGTGATATTGCCTTCTGCATCCACCAGCTGCAATGTGCACTATCAAATATTTTTCTGCAGTGCCTGATCTAGCTCTGAGTTCCAGTAATTCTCCCATCTGCTGCAAAATGACCTTGAAATGATTTTTAGGACTTGATGTTTTCCAACCCTCAAAGTGGGATGAAGAGTAGTTCATTACGGTTCCAGCCAATTTCAGTTGTGCTTGCACCTGGTACAGAATCTACTCTGATGGATCTGAAAGTAGAAGTGTAGTTTGTAGAATTTCTTGCTCATGTGTTTAGTTTTTTTTAGTTAGTTAGTTTGTTTGTTTAATATATATTTAGAGATTGCTATATATTGCAACCCTCCTAAAATATCTAAAGTGAGCTTTATACTTAGAACTGCTGCTATTCACAAATACTTCTTGTATTTTCTATTTCTGTATTCTTAATTTTTCTGGTCTCTTGTTTCTTGAAATTATTTTAGAGAGA